TCGTGAAGCTTCAGAACATACAGTAAAAATTTTATTTTTATTTTTATTATTTTATTTTTATTTTTATTAATTAATATTATTAAATATTAGAGATTGATGATGTGGCAGATGACTAGGATGCCATGTCAGCATTAAATAATATTGTTTTTCGTTCAGGGTTTTATTTGCTAATTTTTAAAATTTTATTTTTATTTTTATTATTTTATTTTTATTTTATATTAATTAATATTATTAAATATTAGAGATTGATGATGTGGCAGATGACTAGGATGCCATGTCAGCATTAAATAATATTGTTTTTCGTTCAGGGTTTTATTTGCTAATTTTTAAAAGTATAGAGTTTTAATTGCCAATTTTTAAAAGTACAATGTTTTTTTGGATCAAAAAAAAGTACAGGGTTTAAATTGAGACGAGAAAAAAGTACAGGGTTTTAAATGGAATTATCCCTTAGTTAAAATATTAATAAAATTAATAATAAATCAAGTCGGCTGCAGTATAAATGACGTCATCAACCATAAGAAAGACAAAAAAAAAAAGGAAAATAAGCTGTGGCTTAGCAATCACTAAGTGGCACAATCTGGAGAAGGCGAGGGCCCTTTCAAAGCTTCAAGAGTTTTCGATTTGATGATTAATTAGACGCCATCCATTCGAATATTACGTAAGAACATATTGTGGTCCTAATCATGTTATGATATAATGAAATAAAATTCCCAACCACCAATTATCTTCTGCCTGTGATATAATATAATACCACATTGATTTTTTTTTTACCTTTTTATAAAATATATTAAAATGGGATTTACGTATGTCTATAATTCTTATGTTCAACAGTAAAGTTTTCAAAACTGTATGTCATATTTGATGAATTAATAATGTTACACTTACTTTTTTCAGTCTGAGATAATTATTTTGGCTAGTTCGAGGTATATAGTATCATTAGGTATGGACCATCTGCAAAGTTTTTTGTTCTGTTAGATTTTAAAATAATATATCTAAATTTGTATCCCAGAATATGCCAGAGAATTTTGATTTTTTATTTTGCTATTACGTGATTATTTTATTATTGTGATTTAAAAACCAAATATACATTAACAATTAAAACCAAATTACATTCGTTTACCATTAATCTATACTAAAATATTTTAGATACAATTCACATTCACTTTTTTTGTTATTTCGATTCAATTTTGACTTGACTTAAAATTAATTCAAATTGAAAATATTAAACCAATGTCTAAACTAATTATTAATTGATTTTAAGTTCGTTTTATATAATTATTTTCTATAATTTTTATAATTGTGAGGATTTCATATGAGCGATACATATGGTAATCAACTGTGAATGATATATTTAAAAAGGATACGTGCAAATTTTTTAAAGAAAGTTGGGTCTAGGTTATTAGTTGAACAATAATATAATTGGACCTCCATATTTATTAGTATTTAATTAGATTAAACATGGATTAACTTCGTTGAATTCAATTTGCTTTGCCCTTAATGAGCAAGCTTATGACTTTGGTGTGCTTATTGTTGGAGGTAGCGGGAACATCGGGTTTAGTATTGGCTTAACCCCCCAATTTACTTTCCTAATCTCACTTTTTTCCAAAAGGACGAAACATTATCTTAACTCGGGTTATTGTCCACACGTGGATTCCTTTTTTAACCTTTTGTTTTTTTCACTAATTATACAAATTAACACTAACACGCATCCATTAATTGCCAATATATTACTAATTTTCCATTTAAATTAATGTCTCATACGAAATTTTCAGTCATGATATTTGTAACGTACAATATACCAACTAATGTTTTTAAACCGTTGGTTAATGATTACAAGAATAGGTGTAATATTTTTAACAAAAAAAAGAATAGGTGTAATAATTAGGGGTGTCAATTTCGATCTGCTGCTCAGCCCGATCCGATCCTAAAAATAATGGATTTCGGATCAAGATATTTAGTCGCGAAAAATTTTGGAATTTCGAATCAGACTCAGATCGGATTTCGAGACGGTCCGAAAGCCCGAATTTAAAAAAAAATAAAAAAAAAATTTAATTTTATAAATAAATTTAGCGATCCGATTCGATCCTATCCGACCCAAACCCAAATCCAAAATCTATAGGGTCGGTTTTCGAATTTGGTGATTTAGATTAAAAAAATCGGGTCGGCCCGAATCCAAACCTCAAACCCTCGATCCGAATGTGGATTCGAATCGCATCAAGTCAGGGTGCCCGATCGATTGACACCCTAGTAATAACTACATATGATTCGGTTGTTTTACTTGTAAGGGCGTGTAAGGAAATAAATAAATTAGCCGACCAAGGCACCGTCATGAAAAAGAGCCATTGGATTTGGTCACAGCACGAATTTTTGTATCCTTTTTTTAAGGAGATTTGTTTGGTATAATGACAATAATAATCATTTTACCGTTCCTCTAATCAAAACTTGTCCTCTCTTTTTCCCGTTTTATCACGTCAAGGTTTCCACACGACCTTTATTTTAGTACTTGTTTACTCCTCGCCTTACTTAATTATGACGTCACCATTGCTTGATTATTTAACATTTTAAAATTATAATATATTTCATAGCTTCCTACAACACTAAGTATAGTTAGGGTGTTTGCCGAGTCGATATTGTCTTTTGGTTCTGTCCCGTGGAAGTTATGATTCTTCATTATACAGCATATTTAAATTTTGATATATGCTATGAATTTGACTGAAATTTCAAAAATGAGATATTTGTGTTTAGACCAATGTTTTCAAAACATGAAAACGTGTGATACTTTAAGACGAATTTTATTTCTAAAAAACCCGTCGGATACATTATTGCTTGTAGATTGTTGACTCGTATCTGCCTTTGAAATTTTCTTCCGGGTGTGGATCGACGACGCCAGGTGGCTCGATGCGACCGCAACTGCTCTTGGAGAAAATTTCGATTATGCATACGTGGAATTAATCTGTATGGTTACAAAAAATAAATGATTTGGTAGTTAAGCGGACCCGGTAGCTTTGAATGTTTCAAAATGGGAAGAATTCTAAAGGCATGCTTTTTCTTTCTTTTTGGCGGTCCAAGGCAGATATTAATAATTACGGCAAATGGAAATAAAAGCAGCTTATATACATATAAAAGATACTAAATATTCGTTGGTATTTTATCTAACTTTTCGGCTTTTTTGTTTTCATGATATGCATTTGTCAATTGCCTGTAAAGTGTAACCATTGTAACGTCCACCTGAATTGGATATTTGATTCCAATGCCTTTTGAGGAAAAGATGGGAACCGTTCTTGTAAACGTCGGCTAACGTGCCATTTATTTCTCAAAATCTTTTTTGCCTTTTCTAAAAAAATCCAATATTCAGATCATCATCCATCTAAATTGGTTTTATACAAGAAAAAAGGTCTTGAAGTTTTAGATATATGGCCATGAATGGTTGGAGTTTTTAGAGTTTTTAAAATTCAAAAACCAAAAAAACTAATATTCAAATTTTTATAAAATTATTTTTTCTAAAAATTTGGAAAAGCGAGGATTCATAGTTAATTCAAAATATGTTTACAAATCAAATGGAAAGATATCTCCTAGTAATAGCCGGACACGACCATGAATGGGCCACAAAGGCTTTTTAACACGACAAATTGTTGAGATTATTAAATAAGTGAAAAGCCCAATGTAGGAGGAGACTTATCATATGAAACGCGTGTACATAATATAATTTATATTTTGGACCTTATTTCTTTTTTCCATATTCTAGTTTATTTGCCCAACGGCCCATTAAGGCAAAACACAGATTTTTTTTATTATTTGTCCCAACCAAATATAACTTCAATTTTAAATTACAAAATATGTGCACGGTACGACGCTGCAACCTCCAATCTAAACCCAGAACGAGAAAATATATATATATATTTTTTAATTTTTACTGAAATACGTAAGGCATCTCACAAAATCCAGATTATATCATTAGAGTATTCGATTTAATTTTCGGTTTAGTTTGGTTGCTGAATAGTGGGAATTATGACCTCCAAAATGTCAGCCATAGACAGCAGACGTGGCACTTGCATTTCATGACAAATGTCTTCAATCCAAATCTCTATCTCAACTTCCCTTATCTTCGGTTTCTTTTTTTCTGGTCTTTTGGTTTTTGGGAGAGAGAGAGAGAGAGAAAGAGAGAGGGGGGGAGTATGGCAACCACACTTGGCCTCCTGAGACTTCCTCTTCTTCCCCGTTTCCATAAACCAAAAACCCTAACTCTCCGCAGCTCTCTCGAATCAAACCCCTCACAGTCACGCAAATGCGGAATCTTGAAAAACCCGGAAGCACCCTCCAATCTCGAGACCGTTCATCTCCTGAAGTCGGCATCTCTTCCTCTTGCGACCATTGCGCTGCCCTTCTTCCTGGATACAAAGGTAAACGAATTGCCTCTCGGAATCCGTACTTTGTTGCCTAAAGTTTCCATCTTTAATACAAACAGAAACACCCGAATGCGTGCTGATATGATACTATGTTTCAATCTGATCGATCCCAATTCGGATTTTCGGAATCGAAGGATGCGGCTGCGGCGGGAGGGCAATTCGGGATATTGGAAGGGAGATCGTTTGCTCTGGTTCATCCGATTGTGATGACCGGGTTGTTCTTGTACACGTTATGGGCTGGTTACCTGGGCTGGCAGTGGAGGCGGGTTCGGACAATCCAAAACGAGATCAACGAACTCAAGAAACAGGTGAAGCCAACTCCTGTTTCGCCTGACGGCACTCCTGTCGAATCTCCCGCTCCTTCACCCGTTGAACTCCAAATCCAACGCCTCACAGAGGTACATATCGTCTCAAAGACTCGGTTTTTGGTTTCTCTTACATCCTTAGATTGTGTCTGTGTGTTGGAATGATGATTTAAGGATATGGGTATGTGTATTTGTGGATGATAAATGAATGCAGGAGAGGAAAGAATTGATAAGAGGGTCGTACAGGGACAAGCACTTCGACGCAGGTTCCATCTTGTTGAGTTTCGGAGTTTTCGAGGCTGTGTTCGGAGGACTCAACACTTGGTTTAGAACCGGCAAACTCTTCCCCGGTCCACATTTATTTGCTGGTGCAGGTACATGTATACATTTTTCGTATTCATAAAACAGCAATCTGTATCTATATATATGACATACATGTAAACGAGGATTTTCATAGATATTGACATAAAGGCGATGATGGTCTTCAATATGGAAATGTTTTGAATGTTTCAATTACGTCTAATTTCGCGTGATTGCGATAGGGATAACGGTGCTGTGGGCAGCGGCGGCGGCTCTGGTGCCGGCCATGCAGAAGGGGAACGAGACGGCCAGAAGTCTTCACATTGCGTTGAACTTCGTCAACGTTGTCCTCTTCGTTTGGCAAATCCCTACCGGCATTGATATTGTCTTCAAGGTCTTCGAGTTCACTAAATGGCCTTAGAATATGTAAGAGGCAAGTCTTCTGGTCACACGTGAACATTTACATTTTCTATGTATATTATTGCTTCTTTACATATTCTAGGAAATTTGTTAAAATTTTATGTTCGTATTTTGAAATTGTACTACCAAAAACAGAGGGAAATATACTCTACTCTTCCATCCATTGTACCAACGGTTATATTGTATTATGAATTTTTATTTTTATGTTATAGCAATTCTTGAAATGTTCGCATTTTTAAAATCTTAAATGTCAAGATTGTCGGGTGATCATGAGGATTCGAGAAGCTACACTTTCTATTGATATTTTGTCTTTTGTTATGTTTAAAAAATAATATAAACAATGGTACGAGGGGTTTGTATAACAGTTATTTAAATATTACTCATTCTTTGAATATATCAAATATTCGAGTTTCATTATATGTAATTGATATAGACCCAAATTGATCAATTTACCAACATAATTTAAAATAAAAACAAAACAATCGTAGTTGTTATTGAAACATTTGCATATCCATACAAGGGGGACGCTTCTACAAGGGAGATGCCTTGAAATGTATAATAGTCTTTACCCTACCATGGTGAAAAAGTAAAGAGAGATAAATAAAAAAATACAAAGTAATTAAGATTTATATTCTCGAATCAAGATCCACAATTAGAAATTAGAAATGGTTAATTAATCATATTTTAAAAATTGTTGGATTCTTTTCTCACGATAACTATAATGCTAAAGAACAATACATGGCATCAATCAACATCATCCTCGCAGACTTTCATTTTAATTTCTCAATAATTTCCAACCGTGTAATTTCCGGCTGAAAGAAATACTCTCATGCTCCAATTTTTCGGTCTATAATAATTCTAATACAGTTTAAATATGAAATCATGTAAATATATCATATTAATATGTTCACTTCACAATATATTTAATAATATACGAGACAAATTCACAATATTCCGACAAATTTAAATTAATAATATAAAATTTTAAAATAAACCTTTTACTATAAAGTATAATGATATGTATCATGTGTTTTTATAAATTGTTTTATTTTAAAATTTTAAAACAAGGAATAAAAAATAGCGGCTAAAATAAAAGAGGGAAATAGCAAGTGGTGGTCGTAAGGGTGAAAAAAGAGAGGGCATCGGGGAACAATGTCTCGAAGCCAATGGACCTACGCAAAGTCAATCTCCTATCTCCTCAGGAGACAGCAACGTTTCCCATAGATTTCTTTTCCCCTTTTCTTTTTTTTTTTTTTCAGCCGAATCTCCCAATAGTCCCTTTTAATTCATCTTTTGCGGCAAGGAATTTGTCATCTGCGGTCCAAAATATAGTGTTGAAAACACAATTATACTGCAGGGTTTCATTTTGTTGTATAATCTTAAGATATTGAAAGACAGTCATATCGTATCCGATAGATGTGATTATGCGTGCGTGGAACAGCAGTTGTTCATGCATGGGCGAAATGGGAACAGTGAGATTACGTGAGTGCATGGTTACGTAAAAAAATGGGGGCATGTGAATAATTAAAAGAGAGTTGAAAAAGAGGCTCAAAGGGGGTGATGCCAGTCGTAATATGGGGTTTTTGCAAGCTGGAAAATGCCTCTGAATGGATCCGATACCTTCCCCCCCTTTACTCTTCTTTTGGTCGAGTTTATGTTTCTTCTGTTTTTCTCTCTTCCCTTTTTTTTCCTTGTTAACATTAATATTTTTTCATAATTTATTTTGTCTCTAAAGTTGTGTGTATATATATAACGTTAGCCGCTTCGTAACCTTAGCATTGTCGTCTGAACTTCAAAACATCGTATCCGTTCATCCAAAATGTCGAACCCGATTCGTCCATGGTTCCGTCTCTCGAGCATCGCTCTACCAACCCCACAGGGCTCGACTGAACCAGCCCCACCAAGGCCCGCCTCTACCCGCCACAGAGGTACATATCGTCTCAA